AAATAAAAAGAACAGAGAGAAAAATATAGAATTTTTTATTCGAATATATTTTAAACCTTGCTCTTAATCATAAGAAATAACATAGTTATACAGTCTTCAAATAAACAAAATGCAATAAATAATCACAAATGCTTGCTTATTGTATTGTATATAACGCAAATTAACTATAAAAAATAAAATATATTGCCATTTATTATAAATACTATTCCTAGATAATCTTAATAAAATAAATATTGAAGGACTTTCCATATTCTGCTAACAAGTTTGAGAACATAGAAAAATAAAAAGAACCTTTTTATGATTAACCTAGCGGAATAAATCAACAGAATTAAATAAATTTATTTAACGTAACAAATAAGCAAACTAAATAAACTAAAGACACAATCAATTTTTGAAAGACTCACTATGTTGTTTAACTTTGCCAGAAATTAAAAGTATACAAGCAAAGTTAATATCAGTTATTATAACTTTCTAACCAAAATACAAGTAATAAAATATAATAGTTTAAGCATCAGAATTATGTGACTCATTAACTTTCCTTCCATTGGCAGTTTGAAACCAACGCTTAATCTTGGCTTCAGCATCAGTAAGAAAGCTATCAGGAAATCGTAGTTTAACTGCACCTGCACACAAAGATAATTGCAATAATACTATCAACAGAAGAAACATATTGATTGACAATTAAACACATTGATGTATAATTTCATATACCATATAAGTATTAAAGAAATAACTGAATGCAACACTAGAATGAAAATTGTGAGATAAACTTGAAAAAATTTAAATTACTTACCAAATACAACTTCACATAGTTTTGTGTCAGAAAACTTTATCTTATCACCTTCTGACCCACTCCAACTTATCAGTTTGGCAAGATCATTTGAGATCAATTTAGACAAAATATTCCCTGTCACACTGCGTTCTGAGGGAATAGATGTGCCAACAGCGCTAGCATATTTAGAATGAAGCAGATCTCGCTGTTAAGGAACGTAAAGTGATTATCATAATTAGTAAATTTTATATACATTATATAATACATATTAATTAACATTACATGAAACATACCATAGCTTCATAATTAATACAACTTGCTGCTAAAAACGTTTCCATTTTTAGAAAGTCCTTCCTTGTTTTCAATGGAATAGAAGGAATATTAG